AATTGTGGAAGTTGAAACTGTTGATGCTGAATATCTCTCCAAACTAAAATTGCCATACCACCTCTTGCAGCATTTTCCCGGTGTGACCACATTGCATGATATCTGACAAAAGAAGGCTCCTGCACTCTTAGCCATGTCTCACACAGACATACCACATCTGACTTTTCTCTATATAGATATAGCTTTATTTCTGTCAGCTTTCCAAATAAGCCATGACAGTTGAGCTGCACAACTTCTAAGCCTAGCTCCCTTCTAGGTGATTGGGTCAAATGCTGTGTCTTCAGTGCATAGTTCATTGAGAGAGTTCGCCGCTGCCCAGAGTGGAAATCTAAGATTAGAGGTTCACTTAAAAAAAGCGTTCCGCCTTGAAAAAAAAACGTTCCAGGCAAGTGGCAACTAGAAACAGGTTTGCAGGTCGTCAGAAATTGGCCTCGGCATGAACGTTACGTCAGGCAACACAGAGAAAATCCCAATATTGTTAATTGTGCACGTCACTCACGGATAAGCAAGAGGAATCTACTGAAAGACACGTTGTGCTCAGTAGAACACGTTGTGCTCAGTAGAACACGTTGTGCTCAGTAGAAGTTACAAGGTCGCTACTGACACCAGTAGAAACTCATCACTCACAGTCACCGATGCACAAGGAAGATCTTGGGAAGGCTGCTTAAGCTTTGCGCCCTACATGAACGTTTCCGAGCTCGCCGGTAGAGACGCGTCACTCTCCGGTGAGCAAAGGATATCTTGAGGAGGCCTCACAACGTTGCAGCCGGTAAAGGATGTACTCTTGATTCTGAAAAAAGTTCCATTAGATCTTGCCAATATACTTGAATGCAAAAGTCGCCTATATACGAGTTAAGAGCACTTGATGTATTAGTTGTTCAGAGTTTGACCAGTTGATTCAGAGCACACCAAATTATTTTCATTTATGGTCATAATTAATTTACTCCTTAATTTTTTTCATTATTTCTTAAAATCATACCTGAAACTGATTTGGAAGATATCATGATATGCTAGCATCCGACTCCCAACCAGCTCAAACGAATGCGGATTCGATTGCATGCAATCTATTCCTTTGTATCATATTAGTTAAACTGCACATGAAGAAAAAAATTGTCAAAATTGGCATTGTTCTATTAAAGATACTTACACTCTTATTGATAAAGCTTGCATTTTATATAGAAAAATAAACGTGATCATTGAACATAAAAATTTTTGAATTATGGCAGTGACGTTGCACGCGTTCTGATGGTAATTGGATTCTTATGACTGGCGTTGCACACGTTCTAGCAATGATTGGATTCATTTGACTGTGACGTTGGACGCGTTCAAGCATTGATTGGATTATTCATATTCTTGTGACTGTTACGTTGGACGCATTCAAGCGTTGATTGAATTCTTGTTACTGTGATGATGCAAGCACTGTTTTTTTTCAAAGAAACGGCTGTGGCATCTTGCAGAGACTCATCAGTGATGATGATGGAGTGAAAGTGGAAGTGTGCTGGACGTTCCAGATTTTTGGGTCCTGCTTTCCAATTTGCTATGTTTACCAGTTAATATATTACCCCTCTGGATTTCCACACTGGCTGGACGTTCCAGATTTTTGGGTCCTGCTTTCCAATTTGCTATGTTTACCAGTTAATATATTACCCCTCTGGATTTCCACACTGCCGCTGCCTGCTGCTGCATTTTTGCCTCGCCCCTTAGACCTCCCACTCTGTTTTGGAAGAGCCTGATTCTTTTTCAAAGATGTTCTAACCATAGGGATCTGTCCTCTTATGCATTTTGCACCAGCTGCTTTCTTGGATTGTGGAGTATGTGATGTATTCACTTCAGGGGACTCTTCTTCCATAGACTGGTCCTGTTGAGAGGAAATTTTGCTGCCAGACATCCACTCCTCCTGCAATGCCTCACTGGCCTCCTGTCCAAAAGCATTTCTGAGGAGACTAATCAAAAGCAAGGTTCACTCTTTTGTTCCCTCATTTTGCAGGTTTAGCTTGAACACTTCATTCATGAATTTTCCCAATCTGATAGTGAACCCAGTTAATGATGCCCTTATAGTTTCTTCTAAATGCCTCTCAGTAGATGCAAGTTCCTCTTTCATTATCTTCCTCAAGCTTGAGTAGGAATTTCCATCGATTTGGTCAGTCACAGCAGCCGCTGGCAGATTGGAGCTAGAAGCTCTTTGGTTCCTTGGCACTCGCTGCATCTGTGTAGATCCTGAACTCAAATAACTGCCTTGAGATTAATGAACATCAGCGGTCGTTATCACAGGAGATGTAAATGATGAGCATGTACTTGTCAGAAGTTGTCACAGAGGGAAAATGAGTAGCACTTTGGCGGCTGGGCCTGCCACTTCCCGGCCCAGGACTGCACCCTGTGCACCAGACTCAATTTCTTTGACAGCTTTGGTGTAAGTGCGTCCATTAGCACACAGTTTTTCTACTACAGTGGCTTTTGCAACGAATGGGCACTCCAATGAATTAGCATGATGGAGGCCTTTGCAGTTAGCACAGCACCTCTCCATTGATGCTAGTATGGAATATATCTACTTGGCGAGCCGCGACTGAATTTTTTGAGCCGTGGTTTTATGGATTTGCCAGCCGTGATTCCATTTCTACGAAATAGTGAATAACTGTTTTTATAGGAAGAATATTATGGTTTGAGACTTTTAAATACGTCTGTGAATATATTAGGAATCCTTTAAGTATACTTGTATTCGCTGATTTAAAGTTGTAAATAAATTGATAGATGATTAAGTTGAGAAATGGATTTAGACACATGAAAACTAATTCTGACTTAACTTGAATTGGACACACACAGATCGTTCCAAGCTTTGTACAAAAATTGAAATTTGTTTAATTAAAAGCCTAATAGTTGTTAATTAAAACGTAATTAAGTAGTGTTCAATATTCCTTAGTGTTCTAATTCAAAGCCGTGTTGTATCCCAATACAGCTCACACAGCAAAGGGAATTTGAACACGTGGATGTTGGCATTACGTATCAGTTAAATTTGAAGCGCTGACGCAATACAACTCACGCTGACGCAATACAACTCACCACGTGTCGAATATTGCCACACACAGTGACGGAATATAGGGATTTGGTAGGTTTCCATTCTAAAGGCTTTTTAATAAATATGGCAACATTTTGTGACGTTTCATCGTTGCTGACGCGTAGTCCGGTGTTTTGTGAGTCATGTGAAGCCAACAGAAGTTACGTAACGCATACAGTTTTTTTTATAGTTTTTCATTTCTCGATGCGTCCTTAATGTGTCGGAATATACCGCGTTTACCCTACAAACCCAGGTTGCAGAGGGTGTAGGCTGAGCAGCGCCACCAAAAGCGCCAATATGTGGATTTTTAGCCACAAGCATTGCCAGCCATTTTCAAGATCCATCGTGGGTAATTTTTAATAAGAAAGTGCTGCAAGCAACTTTGATAGTATATCTCTTACTCTCCACACTCCACAACACTTGCACACATAACACATTGCAACTGATTTCTGGACAAACTTCACTGCATAGTGCATACTGATCCATCCGGGCATCCGGCATACTGGAAACCTTACTATGTGTGCTTGCGGGATTTCACATTTGCAGTACTTCTAAAATGCAATAACTTAAATCAAAATGTGTCAGCAAGATCTTCAGATTTCCAAAGGTGTAAATTGAAATTTTGATGCTGATGCATCACCAAATATATTTTTATATTCACCCACTTTTTGCACCATGGTTACAAACTGCCTGAATCAGTGAATGCTCTAGTCTACTAGCATCTAGCCCTCTAGAAGAGGACTAGAATTTTTTTTAGACCTCTTCTGCTTGAGGACAATTTTGAGTTCTAGAAGTAGACCAGCATAGTATTATGGAATGTGGATATCAGGTTATAAGCATTATCAGACATAAGATATTGGTTTGAATCTTGAGTAAATAAGGAAATTAAAAGTGAACTGATTATAAAAAATTGCAGGTTTGCCACTATAGGTAGTGTAGATATGTTTTATGCCAGGTGTAGATCAGTACTGGCTGGCATATATCTACCATTAAAGCCATGACCAGAGCTTTCCCGCCATTTTTTAGAACCCTATGATTCCTGCTAAATGAATCATTTCCTACCTATTGTTAACAAAACTGTTCTATTGGGCTACCAGATTCCAAACTTATTAAAACACAGTCACATTGGTCCAGAAAAATTTGATTTCACAGATTTTATTTCAAGGATTGAAATTTTGCATAGGAAAATTCCAATCTAGGATCAATAAAGTGACCTGGATATCTGCAATAATATTCATAGATAGTTATTGAATTGAATTGTGACCCATACTGGATTCTTAAGTTTACAACCAATTTTTTAGAATCACTTCCCTTTTACATAGTATGGTATTTAGTGATTCTAATCAAGATTTAAATCAATATCATGTCTATGATGATAATGCTTGTATCTATGACATTTTCATGATCTAATTTTTAGATTAAAAAATAAACTTGATAGTTTTGAAAATATTCTGCTTAAAAAAATCCATCTTTTGCCCGTGATGAATTATATCAACAATTGGCTCTGAAAGTACACTCAATGTTTGTAGCAATGCCACAGCGGTCAAATTGCTGCCTTGTGTAGAACCAATCTATTTTACCATGCACAGGAAGATATGCCAGGTGCACTGGAGTTTGTATTTGATCAATCTGCGCAGTGTGCAAGAATAGGTTGTGGAAAAAATGCACCTGGTGCCAAAATTAGTTTAGGTTCAGGATGTGCAATTGCTCACAAAAAAATGCTGGTATGGGGCAACTACGTATGTAGTGTATTAACGAGTGACTGCGTAAATGCTTACCTACTGCTTTTTGCAACGGCGCAAGCTGGAAAATTTCCCTCGGGCAATGCAATAGTATCACAATTCCAGCAGCTTAGGTTACCTATCATTAACCTCTACCATCACTTTAACTCATTTTAGGCTAGATGCGCAATTAGAGCTTATCCACTATTTTTTAAGCAGAGAAAATGATGAATTCAGGTTTGATGAATTATCTCCTGTCTTATTTTTAACAAAGTGCACTAGCAGGCTGTTAGTTGATAATTTGTTTAAAATGTGTGACTTAATAGCTGTGACTTTTCAGTAATAAGTGGAAATTATCAGTTGTGTTAAGTAAGGAATCTTGGCTCAAGATATTACTGTCATTTCAAGCTATTAACAAACCAATCAATTAATATTTCATTGAATTGGTCACGCTGTGCTAAAAATTGGGAAAAATGTTCTTTTAATTAAATGCAATTTAATTACCATGAGTGCTATCATTTATTTTCTGAAATGAAATGTAAAACAAAATAATTTTTGCAATGAATAGATGTTAGAAGGGAAGCCAACCTAAGTTTGATAACTTAGAGCTGCATCAAAAATTTGCTGTGAATTTTAAACTAAATTATTTTTCTCACAAGATACCTTTTGTGCAGGACTAAAATACTGGCAGAGGTGCAGTCAACTCTTCAATATAACATTTATCTATTCTACAGGTGACTCAGAAACTGGCAAGACAATAGAGACTTCAATATAACATTTATCTATTCTACAGGTGACTCGGAAACTGGCAAGACAACTCTGGTTGCTAAACTACAGTGCAATGAGGACCCAAAGAAAGGATCTGGGCTCGAATATGCATATATAGACGTCCGTGATGAGTACAGAGATGGTTAGTTCCTTACTTTTTACTTAATTTTTCTCTGTTCATTATCTTAGAGATAAGGTCTCAAAATGTAATATTTGCAATTTTTTTTTGTTTGAGAATGTCTTGATTACAAGGTTATGTGATACATAAATTTTTCATGCAAATTTCAGTGGCAAACCACTGGCTCGACTCAAATGCTGTTAATAGATTTAATAGATACTGACACGTGAAGAGTCAGAGAAATGCAACATTTTAAAATGGCAATTTTTCTATGCGTTTGAGAAGATTTTAGCATATAAACCAGCTGTGCTGTATTTGTAGGCAAACATTCATGTTTTCTTTAGTTTATTCAGTTATCAATCTCTTTCTTATTATCTCATTTGCACTGATGTAGGATGTCTCACCCTTTGCTTTCTTGTAGTAACCTTATGCCTAACTTGTTGCTTCTAATCTACAATTTATGGCCAAATAATCCTAAATATTTTGCAGCCATTTTGTTGGAAGCTTGTCATGAACTGTTATCATCCTATGACAAATTGTCTAGATAATGTGTAGATTTGCCACAAGGCAATTTTTTTGACAAATGGATTGTGTTTAGACTCGAATTTTATTTCATCTGTTCAAAGTAATAAAGAACAGAAAAATTGATGCATGGAACTGAAAGTCTAAAGTAATCTGTGTGTTATCAGTATTTTTTTTATGGATAATGGTAAAAGCTTCTGCAATAACACAAGTGAATGCTTGGGTGCTTGAAGCTATTAACAATACTAAGCAAATAACCCAGAGTTGCGCCTGCAGAACACACGCGGCTCAGTGTATGGATGTTGGACGGCGACCCTCGTTACTCTGACTTCCTGCAGTTCAGTGTGAACTCCACGTCCTTGGAGCACACCGTGGTGCTGCTCACTGTCTCTATGGAGACGCCCTGGGCCATCATGGACCAGCTCCATGTCTGGGCCACTACCCTCCATGAGCACATCGACTCCCTCAATCTGGGGCATGATCAAGGTACTTCTCCAGCCTGTAGGGTGGAGATCAGGGAGACCCATGGTTGAACTATATAAGGTTGACCCACGAAAAGATCCGTTTTTCAGTTCACCTTTCTTGCTACGTCACGTGGATCAAGAAACGTAAACAAACCCGTCATTCCCACGACGGATTGGTTGACTGTTTTGATAGCATTTTAGTGATTGGTTAATGCCTGTGACGTCACTGAGATCAGTGACGTCACGGGCGAACAACAAACTACATCTGCAAAAATAGGCTTCTGATGGGTCAGCCTTATACTAGTTCAACCATGAGGTAGACCTGCATGTTGAGCATGTGGATCATCTTGATGCCTGCTTCGTTTGCTAGGTACTTCAAACGAGAGTTTATCCAATATCTAAGTATTTTACCGTATATCATTTGGCTGTCTTTGGTCTTGGTATTAGGACCAGGTAAATGCTCATCCAGTAGCTAAAAACCTGCTAAATATTAAGAGTGTTGAACACTTTATCTGAATCTACAGGTTAGCACAGAGATACATAATTTTTTTGGAATTGGCCAAACGGCACAAGGTGAAGTTAAGGAACTGGTAGGAGTTGTCTCAAATAGGGTAAGTACTCATTATATTCCCGACACTGATAGTCATGATCATACAATTGGACAAGTAAACATGAGAGCAATTGGACGTTTGCCGTCGAGGCCTTCTTTGTATAGCGTCAATATGGCCAAAACCTTCAGCCGGCGAGCTCTCCAGAGTTAGTTCCACGCGATTCCTTCCTGTAGGATTATTTTAAAACTGAAATAAAACTAGAAGCATGTGTAGTCTTGAGATCCTGCGCTTGTGCTAGCTGACATGTGTTGTGTTCACTACAGTTAAGCACTTGTGCTAGCTGACATGTGTTGTGTTCACTACAGTTAAGCACTTGTGCTAGTTGACATGTGTTGTGTTCACTGCAGTTAAGCAGCTGCAGGACAAGATGACGCGCGCCTGGCAGTCCTACGTGGAGCCTGGGGATGAGCTGGAAGGATGTGGCGCCGCTTCTCCCCTCAAACCCTCCCCACCAGGAGGGGTGGTGGGAGGGCAAGGGGGAGGACAGAGGACGTCCCGCAGCATGGAGGAGGAGGAGCTGTTCCTCCCTCTGCCGGAGGGCGTCCTGACGCGCAACCTGGGTCTCCCCATCATTGTGGTCGTCACGAAGGTCGGCTGTCGATTGGTGCTAATGTTGTTACTGTGACGTGCTGCTTGTGACTTGTCGTTCCTTTGAATGGTCTCGTCATATTTGCCAACTTGTGACTTAAGACGAGTCATACTAAACTAGTCATTCAAGATATTGGAGACATAACTTTTTCTAATTTAACTACTTTTTAATAATAACTAATAATAATAATTAGCCACTTTTTAATAATTTTTAGCCACTTGTAACGTGCCCTCGAAGTTTGATCTGAACCAGACGCCACGACAATCTCTTCGTGGAATAATAACAATAATAATAATAATTAAACATCACAGCGATGCAGACCCCTTTGCTGACAGACAATTGTTGCCGCAACATTCAAGCCGCTGGTCTTCAATAGAAATGATTTATTTTATGAACAAAACTGAGTCTAATCTTTTGATTGCTCTCAAAATAGTTTTTCAGTTATGTGGGTGTTGAACCTTACAAATTGCAGTCCCGTCCAGTATTGACAAAACATTTTGCCAAGGCCAGATGATTAGTTGTCCCTTGTCAAGGTTAGGACACTTCTACTGAGTTGTCATGTTCGTACAACCTTGACAGAATAACGATCGCTCAAGGCAAAGCCATCAAGCCCATAATATTATTGACCAGAGATCAGGAAATAGCTATTGAGGAGAAATCTCACACGACGAGCGGCTGTGATTTGCTGCTGTACCATTTTTTGCATAGATATATGAAACAATGCCTATTTTATATTTGGTTTATATATTGTTTTAATGGGTATATGCTTGCAGACGGACCACATGGCGGTGCTGGAGAAGGAGGAAGACTACAAGGAGGAACATTTCGACTTCATCCAACAGTCCATAAGGAAGTTCTGCCTCCAGTATGGCGCTTCGCTCTTCTACACTTCAGTCAAGGAAGACAAAAACTGTGATCTTTTATATAAATATTTGGTGCATCTTATCTACAATTTCCCCTTCAGAACTCCCGCCCTTGTCGTCGAAAAGGATGCAGTCTTCATGTAAGCTTTGGGGAACTATGATTTTGTTGCACTGTTGTGTTGTGCAAACAACAATGTACTACTGACATAATCCTTGTATTGTGCACTGCAGTCGCTGCCTTTCAACGTCGTTTTGCTTCATTGCATAATTCTTAATTGCAAGCTGATTCAGTGCATTTTTGTTCACTGCAAGATGATTCATAGCATTATTGTTCACTGTATGATCCATGCAACGTCCCTTAATTTGCCTGCTGTTCTCTATCACCATTAACTTCTCCTCAGACCCGCGGGCTGGGACAACGAGAAGAAGATTTCCATTTTATTCGAAAACTTGCAAACAATGAATGCCGACGACTACTACGGCGACGTCATCGTCAGGCCACCCACCTCTAGAAAAGTGAGTCACGTGACCCACGTACTGCCATCCAGGGCTTATTGGGACCCTTACCTTCCCCTCCTGCCCTTATATAGACCTGCGCCCTACCTCCCTACCTTTATATGGACCCGTGCCCTCCCTTCCAGCCCTTATTGGAACCCTCACCTTTCCCTCCTGCCCTTATATGGACCCGCGCCCTCCCCTCCTCCTCTAATTTTGACGCATGCCCCCCGGGAGGTGGAAGTGACTGTGTTGTGTGCAGGCTGTAGTGCGGGAGGTGGAAGTGACTGTGTTGTGTGTGCAGGCTGTGGTGCGGGAGGTGGAAGTTTCATGCTCTCACTGTACACACAAACTGTACACTCAATGTATACTGTGTAAACATTGGCACAATATAACATTTTTCGTATATGCAGTCATCGTTTTTGCGTGCCTGATGTACTCAAACTTCTGTCAGCAATTGAGATGAAAAAATAAAACTAATTGCGAAGCGCTTCACTGAATGCTGCGCCGCGCATTGATCGCTAAAATGCCATGACAAGCGTCATACTTTCAAGAAAATGTTAAGAGTTTGTAAGTTCATTAGCCAATCACTGTCGTCTTTTCAAACAAAACTCTTGTATCACAGGCAGTAAATCCCAGCATTAGTATGCATAATTACACATTAACAGTACGACCCAAGTTTCCAGGAGCAGTTTTGGTTGCTAGTCGAGACGCTCACTTGCGTGCGGTGACCGCACTACTAATTAGTTTTTTTTATTGAGCGCTTCAATTATTTTGTAAAAACTCGAATTTAATAGGTATTTTATGAGTTAATTAATGTTTTCAATAAGTTACCTTTTGTGAAATAAATTCATTTGATGCTTGATAAAATAATAATTCATTTAGTTTATTTATAAAGAGATTAATTAAAATCCCTGGCGTGGCAGGCCGTCTTCAGGAGGCGGCGCCCCTACGCCCTCCGGCGTCCAGAAGACTGACCGCCGTCTGTCCTCCACGGCCTCCCCGAGCCTCGTGGCCTCGCCCAAGAAGGTGCCTAGCCTCGTTGTCCTCCCGTCTCTTGTCCTCCTGTCTCATGTCCTTCAGTCACTTGTCCTCCCGTCTCTTGACCTCCCGTCTCTTGTCCTCCCGTCTTTTGTCCTCCCGTCTCTGGTCCTCCCGTCTCTTGTCCTCCCGTCTCTTGTCCTCCCGTCTCTTGTCCTCCCGTCTCTTGTCCTCCCGTCTCTTGACCTCCCGTCTCTTGTCCTCCTGTCTCTTGACCTCCCGTCTCTTGTCCTCCTGTCTCTTGACCTCCCGNTTGTCTGGCGTCCAACTCAGACCTCGTCGCCCCCCTCACACTCACCTTCGTCCTCGACGTCATTCGTAAGCAGCGAGTTAATCACATGAGCGATGTTGACATTTGAGCGTTATTGTCAATAACGCGCCTTATTAAGATAAACGTGATTACTTCTGATTATCCTACCAAGTACCAAGCTTTTAATAGCCCAATACCGATAGCCCGAGTCTTTATAATTATAAATGTGCTAGGATTTATGGTATTCGAGTAACTAGGTTACTTTTGACAATGAGGGTCTGTCTCTTATACACATCTGTCAGCTGATTACTGCTGCTGCTGCTGGCATACGAGTCAGCTGATCACTGCTGCTGCTGGAAGTATCAACAGTCAACACCATCATATAGGGTCCTAAGCTTACAGTCACTGCTGCCGTCGACAGCACCCAGAACCATCTGAGACCTGAGTTAGTTACTGCAGCGGAGACCTGGGGCTATAATTTCAAAAATCGCTAAGTTAACGTAAGTACTTACCTACGCTCCATTATCTTGTCCGTGAGTGGTGGAATTTGCTTAAAAGGACGTCAATAATTGGCTGATGAACTTACGATCTCTTAACTATTTTGAAAGTACGGCCCATGAATGCTTGATAAACTTCTAATGCGCATATCTGCTGGTCAGCAGGAAGGGCGACTTATTGCGGTGCTTTGTCAATCAATTGAGTTATCCGTATCTCGTGCTTTATGCCTCTGGCGGTATTATATTTTGAAGATATGAAGCTGTATCACCGCGGCTATCAATGTAAGGGAGTAAACCATTAGTGTTGGTCTCTTAAAATTAAATAGGCATTGAAGTTTCCCGCTGTGAAACTTCTCAAATGTCACGGCGACCGGTGCAACTTGTGTCGCTGGACCTGAATGGTAATACACCATTGTATTACCATTTAGTATGGTGTATGTATTACCATTTATGTATGGTAAGGTAATACATCCCTTGGTATTACCATCCTTCTGGATGGTAATATAATCAGCTATTTATATTTAGTTGGCCTGCAAATAAATGAGCCTCTGTTTCACTATAGTCCATCTTATATTGATATAACATTTCTCTTCTATTATCTCTCTAGGTGAACCTGACTACAATACTAGTTTTTCTCTGTACAATTTAGGCGTTAAACCCAATAATTAAATTTCATTTCATTCTTGTTAGTTTAACTTGTTGTCTTGTTCGATTTAATGTTAAGAAAGAAGCTAAGGATTTAATTTCTGTAACAAAGGCATAAACTAAATAAAAGTTTTGTACTCATGCGTTGGAACTTGAAATTTTTTACGATTTAGGCTAATCGTAGGCAACAGGCACCAGCTCTTGACTATTGGCTTGAACCAAAGTCTTGGCAGCTTGACGTTGTCACGGATTGCTAACACTCTGGGCAACTGTTGGGCTCCGAACAAGTGTTTTGTCAAGAATTTAACCATAGGAACGGTTGAGAGTCAAGTACAGTAAAACGATTTTCATGCCATAAATTAAAAAAAAACGCGTTATATTTCAGAATATATCGCTCCATTGAAAGCTATTTCAAGTTGTCGCTGTGTTTCAGTGATTCTGTCGATAAAACTGTTTTGCTTGCCGGCTTTACTCAACTCTTCTAATGCTTTATTTGAAACCAATAATAAGATAGCACTAACAGATTCTATGAGAAAAAACTTCGATAAAATATGTACTTTTTTAGCACGAGAGTGTACGGGTCCTCGTGCTCAGTGCTCACTCTCCGCACTCTGTTTAATTTATGATAGAATAAGCCTTTATTTTCTATTACTCCCCAAATGAATTGTGAATATGATTTTATAGTCTTTGTAATTATTGATTTATAAATATGGTTTGTTATTTTGTAATTTGTCTCCCATGTTTTCGTGTTGTGAGCGTTAAATTATCTCTTTCCCGAGTCCTATTTGATCTGAATAGAATTTTCTGTGCAAATTAGTAACGACTAACGAGTGTTCAGGTTTATTGCGTAACTACGCATTTATTGTATGTGCGTAACTAGCGTCGACCACCCCTCCCATAACTGAGGTGATTTGACAGAGCCCCTCCCTCCCTCGACACTTTAAACTCGATTTACTTTATTTTCCTCTTCACTTGTTTAAATCTTGATGATGACTTATTGCCTGCTGTCGCTCATCATATCGTATGAGCGCTTGTCTCGAGGCTGCCGCTGAGCGCATTTTGAGCCTCGCGCTCACCGGGGCAACGCGACTGCGCATAATCCAACCTTTACAGTGAGGTTTACAGTGATTACCATTGACCTTGCCAGTGAGGTTTACAGTGATTACCATTGACCTTGCCAGTGAGGTTTACAGTGATTACCATTGATGTCTCTGGCTTCTCATTTGACGTCGTTGTACCTACGAACACTCGTGTAATATTTTCGTTGTATTATTTCTATCTCTAAATTAGGGATTTGCTAACCATTTACCATCACCGCTCTTCTTTGTGCGCGTTTGCTTTGTTCGCTCATGCATAATCGCTGCCTTCTGAGGCTGGATTGCTGTCGCGTGTACGAGGCCTCGAACAAAACTTTATACAAATTTGGGTGAAAATATTTATTGAAGAATAAATGTCGTTTAATTTCCACTAAGAATTTTATTTTATTTATTTTTTTTTTCAGTTTACTCCGGATAGTTTCAAATCCCTAAGGTCGATAATTTGCCGTTGAAGATGAACCATTAAAATTGAATGCTTGTAATATTTCTGTAGAGGTCCACAGGTTAGTGGTGTAGAGGTTAAATTTGCTAGTTCTGTAGAGGTCCGACCAATTGATCCGCTGTTGCTATTAATTAGATTGTGACGTCATGATCTGTTTTACCGTATTAGGCGGTCACGTCTCGTAACGCTGGTGCAGAGATCACAAGTTCCTCAGAATACTTTTATTCTCTGCGCTGAGGAAGACTATCTGCAGTACAGGATTGTGTTGGCTGATGAATTATTGAAGAAGAGGTTCTTTTCGAACGTCGACTAGGAGGAAATACTTTCATTTGTTCGGTGATATCTTGTCAAACTTGGCAATGAAACCAGTCGTCTTAATATGAGCTTTTATGGTGACATGGGGTTGAATAATGAAGCCCGCATGGTTACTTCAGGTGAACGTGAGTGCTATCTCAACAGCCCTTATTTATAAACGAGTCTCAAGTCTCTCAATAATAAATATAAATATTTATTTTAACTTGATAGAATAAACCTTGTTAATGTTAAAGCGAAAATAAAGGAAAAGTGCACCTGGTGAACGATTACTTGTTGAATAACTGCTTCTCAATGTTGCGTTATGAACACTGAACACTATGCTATAATCGTTCATCTAATAAAGTATGGTCTGCATATGTAATGGACGACGGTACAGCTCCGATAATATACTCTTATATGATCTAAACAAACTACGTCTAACTTACCTCATACCTCGCACAAACAAGTTCGAATAAATACAATTATTTAGAATATAAACAGTTCGGTATTGCGGTACCTGCTTCAGTTAGCACTCTACAAACTAACTAGGTACGCACACAGTGAAAGCAGGTTTGCCCGCGCGGGCAACCTGCTTCAACCTGCCACAAGAATGAACATAGGATGATCATGTAAGTGTTCACAGTGAAAACCTGTACGAATAGGCTTCTGTATTCTATGGTTTCAGGCGCCAGCCTGAGCAGGTAACCAGCACGCTGGCAACCTGCTTTCATTGTGTGCGTACCCATAGGTAGGAGACATCAGGCTTATCCTGTCTGCAAGTCAACTCGCTGTATCACTAATATGGACCCATGCCCTACGGTCAAGTGACTTCGAGACTTGTTTCCGGGGGTGGAACATGGAGGAAGTTATTGAAATTATTTTGATGCTGCGTGGGGAACGAAGCCAAGATTGTCTACGCATTAGGATTCGATCAACTAGGCTGACAGTTTTTGAACAACTAGGATTCTAACAACTAGGACTTGAATCCTAGAACAACTAGGATTCGATCAACTAGGTTGACAGTTTTTGAACAATTAGGATTCTAACAACTAGGATTTGAATCCTAGAACAACTAGGATTCTATCAACTAGGTTGACAGTATTTACAATGGGAAATTTCACAACGTATGGCATATAATAATAGTGAGACTGACCAAGCAAGGCTTCGAGCACTGCCACAAGACGCGTGGTCTCCATAGAGCCGAGCGCGCTGTGAACGTCGTCTGCTGAGGCGCAATAGTTCCAGAGCACTTGGCACGCTAGGCTGCACAGCTGCAGGTCGCTGCACCCAAAGTACTGCAGCACTTCCACCAACCTGCGTGACGTCATACAGTCCAGCGTCAACCAAACTATCCTTTCTCCTTCTTGTATTTTCTAATATTATACCATTTTCTCAGAAAAGGTAGTTGAACAGTGGAAATTTTCACGGAACAGTGGTCTCAGAAGATGTAGTTGGTGGAGAGTATGGTCTTTTTCGGGAAGTTGCGTAAAGATTCATTGAACAGTGGAGAATTTGACAAATAATTTGTTTACGTGAATATGTATATAAGAATCTTATGAGAATTTATATGAGCATTTTCTGAGAATTTCATTCTCATAGGAATTATTTTTGATAAATTATGATGACGAATGTCCATAAAATGGAACAATAACAGCGCCAGTAAAATATCGATCTACATATTATATAATTGAAAAAATGCATTGACCTTTGT